ATATAAGCAATAACAACATGCTATAACAACACAAAGACATGATATAAAAACAATAAAACAAGATATAAAAATAACATTGATAAAAACAATGACTGATAAATTGATTGAACTTATTCTAATATCTCCCTGTATACCACATCAAGAGTAAAAACACTTTCAGAGTACTTGACTAATTTCCTTTGTGATGAAGTATTTACAACTTTAATGTTCCAGTTCTTTGAACTCGAGATAAAGCAACATATAACTGACCATGTCCGAAAACGGGTTCAGGTAGAAATATTTCTACTCTGTCTAGAGTTTGTCCTTGTGATTTATTAATAGTCAACGCAAATGCTGGTCAGGTAATTGTCAGCAACACAGCAGTAAATATCAACACGAAATAGATTATTAGTGTAGATCACGTAACTGCAGCAGTGTTTGACTATATTCTGCGCAGTGAGACATTTTCAAGGTTCACCATTTCTTACTTCTTTTCAGTTGGGTCAACTTTCTAAGCTTTCTAAATCTCTGTTTTCCGGCTAATGAAAAGAAAATAGGATTCCACCAAGTTTCCTATCTACCTACTCCAAGACTTCTGTGAGGATCAAATGAGATGAGGCACAGGAAAACGCTTCACAGCCATTTGGTTATAGTGTTAAATATTTCCACCTGGCTATGAAGCAAGTTGTGTTCCTGAGCTGCAGAAACTCCAAGGTGGCTAGTTCCTAGGGAGAGGAAACTGGGTGTTGCTACATGATGTCATTACCCAGACAGACACTTAGCATAATAACCCTTTGTATATATAGATGGGTGCTGGATTTTATCAGATGTTTTTCTGCATCTATTCATATGGTCATGTGATTTTTATTTTTAAATTTGTTTATGCGATATATCACATTTATTGATTTGCAAATATTGTACCTGTCTGCATCCCTGTAATAAATCTGACTTGGCTATGGTGTATGATCTTTTTAATGTATTGTTGGATCCAGTTTGCTAATATTTTGTTGAGTATTTTAACATCGATGTTCATTGGTGATATTGGTCTATAATTTTCTTTCTTAGGTTTTATAATTAGGATAATGCTGGTCTCATAAAAAGAGATTGGAAGACTTCCCTACTCTTGAATTTCTTGGAACAGTTTCAGAAGGATAGGTATTAGCTCTTCTTTGAATGTTTGATAAAATTCCCTTGGAAAGCCAATTGCTCCAGGACTTTTGTTTGCTGGGAGTTTTTTTGTTTGTTTGTTTTTTATATCTGCTTCAATTTCATTAGTTGTAATCAGTTTATTCAGGTTTTCTTATTCTTCCTAGTTTATTTTTGGAAGGTTGTGTGTTTTTAGGACTTAGTCTGTTTTGTCCACAATGTCCAGTTTGTTGGCATAGTACTTTTTTAAAAAATATATATTTTATTGATTTTTTTACAGAGAGGAAGGGAGAGGGATAGAGAGTTAGAAACATTGATGAGAGAGAAACATCAATCAGCTGCCTCCTGCACACCTCCTACTGGGGATGTGCCCATAACCAAGGTACATGCCCTTGACCACAATCGAACCTGGGACCTTTCAGTCCACAGGCCGATGCTCTATCCACTGAGCCAAACCAGTTAGGGCGGCATAGTACTTTCTTACAATCTTTCATATTTCTTTGGTGTAAGTTATTCTCCTTTCAATTTTGATTTTTTATTTATTTGTGTCCTCTCTTTTTTTCTTGATGAGTCTGGTTAAAAGTTTGTCAGTCTTCTTTATTGTTTCAAAGAACCAGCTTTTAATTTCATTGATCTTTTGTATTGTTTTTTTTGTTTGTGTTTTGTTTTTTTGTTTTTTTTTTAGCCTCTTCTGTCATTTATTTCTGCTCTGATCTTTATTATTTCTTTCCTTATATTCTGGGCTTTGTTTGTTGT